AAGGGAGATAACAACAAACACCATGGAAGTCCAGGAAATCATCAGAGACTACTTCGAGAACCTATATTCAAATAAATTTGAAAATCTTAAAAGAAATGGACAGATTTCTAGATACATATGATCATCCAAAACTGAACCAAGAGGATATTAATCACCTGAATAGACCTATAACACAAAATGAAATTGAAGCAGCAATCAAGAGTCTCCCCAAAAAGAAAAGTCCAGGACCTGATGGATTCCTCTGAATTCTATCAGACCTTTAAAGAAGAACTGATACCAACCCTCCTTAAACTGTTCCATGAAATAGAAAGGGAAGGAAAACTGCCAACACATTTTATGAAGCCAGTATTACACTTATCCCAAAACCAGGCAAAGACACCTCCAAAAAGGAGAACTATAGGCCAATCTCCTTAATGAACATTGACAAAAATCCTCAATAAAATAATGGCAAACCGAATTCAACACACATCAAAAAGATCATTCACCAGACCAAGTAGGCTTCATCCCAGGAATGCAGGGGTGGTTCAACATAAAATCAATAAAGTAATAAACCACATTAACAGAAGTAAAGACAAAAACCACTTGATCATCTCAATAGATGCAGAAAAAGCCTTTGATAAGATCCAACAGCATTTCATGATAAAAGCTCTAAGAAAACTAGGAATAGAAGGAAAGTACCTCAACATTATAAAAGCTATATATGACAAACCTACAGCCAACATTATACTTAAAAACTGAAAAACTGAAACCATTCCTTCTAAAATCAGGAAATAGACAAGGATGCCCACTATCTCCACTCCTATTCAACATAGTACTGGAATTCCTAGCCAGAGCAATTAGGCAAGAAGAAGGAATAAAAGGAATACAAATAGGTAAAGAAACTGTCAAAATATCCCTATTTGCAGACGATATGATCCTATACCTTAAAGACCCAAAAAACTCTACTCAAAGGCTCCTAGACACCATCAATAGCTATAGCAAGGTAGCAGGATATAAAATCAACATAGAAAAATCATTAGCATTTCTATACACTAATAATGAACAAACTGAGAAAGAATATATGAAAACAATTCCATTTACAATAGCCTCAAAAAAAATCAAATACCTAGGTGTAAACTAACAAAGGATGTGAACGACCTCTACAAGGAAAACTATAAACTTCTGAAGAAAGAGATTGAGGAAGACTATAGAAAGTGGAGAGATCTCCCATGCTCATGGATTGGTAGAATCAACATAGTAAAAATGTCTATACTCCCAAAAGTAATCTACATGTTTAATGCAATTCCCATCAAAATTCCAATGACATTCATTAAAGAGATTGAAAAATCTACCATTAAATTTATATGGAAACACAAGAGGCCATGAATAGCCAAGGCAATACTCAGTCAAAAGAACAATGCTGGAGGTATCACATACCGACTTCAAACTATATTACAAAGCAATAACAATAAAAACAGCATGGTACTGGCACAAAAAAGACATGAAGACCAGTGGAACAGAATAGAGGACCCAGATATGAAGCCACACAACTATAACCAACTTGTCTTTGACAAAGGCACTAAAAATATACAATGGAGAAAAGACAGCCTCTTCAACAAAAACTGCTGGGAAAACTGGTTAGCAGTCTGCAAAAAACTGAAACTAGATCCATGTATATCACCCTAACCAATATTAACTCAAAATGGATCAAGATCTTAATATCAGACCCCAAACTCTAAAGTTGTACAGGAAAGAGTAGGAAATACTCTGGAATTAATAGGTATAGGCAAGAACTTTCTCAATGGAACCCCAGCAGCACAGCAACTAAGAGATAGCATAGATAAATGGGACTTCATAAAACTAAAAAGCTTCTGCTCAACAAAAGAAATGGTCTCTAAACTGAAGTGACACCCACAGAGTGGAGAAAATATTTGCCAGCTACACATCAACAAAGGACTGATAACCAGAAATATAGGGAACTTAAAAAACTAAATTAAATGAACCAATAAAGAAATGGGAAGTGAACTAAACAGAACTTTCTCAAAAGAAGAAATTCAAATGGCCAAAAAACACATGAAAAAATGCTCACCATCTCTAGCAATAAAGGAAATGCAAATTAAAACCACACTAAAATTCCACCTCACCCCTGTTAGAATAGCCATCACTAGCAACACCACTAACAACAGGTGTTGGCGAGGATGCGGGGAAAAAGGAACCCTTTTACACTGCTGGTGGGAACGTAAACTAGTACAACCACTCAAGAAAAAATATTTGGAGGCTACTTAAAAAGCTAAACATTGATCTACCATATGATCCAGCAATACCACTCTTGGTATTCTTTTGGTACCCAAAAGAATGTGACACAGGTTACTCCAGAGACACCTGCACACCCATGTTTATTGCAGCACTATTCACAATAGCCAAGTTATGGAAACAGCCACGATTCCCCAGCACTGAGGAATGGATTAAGAAAATGTGGTATCTATACACAATGGAATTTTATGCAGCCATGAAGAACGAAATGTTATCATTCGCTGGTAAAAGGATGGAATTGAAGAACATCATTCTGAGTGAGGTTAGCCTGGCCCAAAAGACCAAAAATCGTATGTTCTCCCTCATATGTGGACATTACATCGAGGGCAAACACAACAAGGGGATTGGACTTTGATAACATGATAAAGCGAGAGCACACAAGAGAGGGGTGAGGATAGGTAAGACACCTGAAAAACTAGATAGCATTTGTTGCCCTCAACACACAGAAACTAAAGCAGATACTTTAAAACAACTGAGGCCAATAGGAGAAGGGAACCAGGAACTAGAGAAAAGGTTAGTTCAAGAAGAATTAACTTAGAAGGTAACACACATGCACAGGAAATAACTGTATAGTTATCCTTATCTCAACTAGTAAATACCTTGGTCCTTCCTATTATTGCTTATACTCTCTCTTCAACAAAATTAGATATAAGGGCAAAATAGTTTCTGCTGGGTAGCAAGGGGTAAGGGTGGGTGCGGGGGGGAAAGGGGGAGAAATTACCCAAACATTGTATGCATATATGAATAAAATAAAAATTAAAAAAAAAAGAAAAAAAGAATAAGTAATAGAGGGGGTGGGTATGATCAAAGCACGATATATGTAGAAATATCACAAGGAAACTCCTTGTTTTTGTACAATTAATATATACAATAAAAAATTTTTAGAAATCTCCTGAACCTAAACCAACCAAACAAAAACATTTAATAAATGTGAGATTGGCCTCCAAGATCTTCTCCAAAAAAACCCTTTAGCCTCAGGCTAACGAGGCGGGGTATGTGTGGGGAGAGAGGACACACAGACAAATTCCAATAGTGGCCATTGTACATCATATCTAACTAGTACTCCTCAAAACTATCCATGTCATCCAAAGAAGGAAAGATTGAGAAACTCAAACAAGAAGAGCCTAAGGAAATAAGAAAATTAAAAGTAATGTGGTATCCTATATGGGATCCTGAAGCAGAAAAAAAGGACATTAAGTTAAATTAAAGGAAGTCTAGATAATCCACATACTTTAGTTAATAATATACCAATAATACTGGCTCATTAATTGTGGTGTTATATTAATGTAAGATGTTAATAACGTGGGGGATAATTATAGGTATTCTGTACTATCATTGCAATTTTTCTGTAAATCTAGAAATACTCTATAAATAAATGCTTTGAAAAAAAGTTAATATAGAATCAGACATGGTGGTGCATGCTATAATCCCAGCATGCAGGAGGCTGAGACAGGAGGACTGAGAGCCTGGAGAACCTGTCTCAAAAAACAAAAAGAAAAAACACCAAACATACCTAATTTCACATATAAGTACAGATGAAAAAGGCTTAAATAGCCCAATAACAAACTAAATTGAATAATAAAATAGTTAACATGACTAAATCAAATACAGTCAAAAAACCAATAAGTTATCAGAGAGGAATAAAAGAATCACAGGTGCCTGTATTTTCTTCATTCTCTTTCAGTATTTTAAGTCATGTTTATAAAAGTAAAGCGAAAATAATCTACCTTTTTTTTAAATTTTCTATGTAACAGCCATCCTCCTTATTCTATGACTGGGAGGGGAAACTAATCAGTAAATTATACAAACTAATTAACAATACACTATTTTCTTCTACTGTGGCTATAGACTGAAGTCATGATGTGTTACTGAGGAGTCGTGCAAATTAAGCTCTATAAAACATTCTACAGGTTTATTACATTATTTTAGAGACATTTAAAGATCTGAAACTCAGCTTTTCATTTAGGCTGCTCAAAAGTGAGGGTAAGAGGTGTGGCTCAGTGTTAAAACACTTGCCTAGCATACACAACACCCTGGGTTTAATCCCCAGCCACACACACAAAGTAGAACAAAAAACCTATTTCCAATATACTGTTATGATTTTAAAGGGCCCTTGCAAATCAAGAAAATGAATCCAGGGCTAGGATAGGTCAGTAGTGGAGTGCTTTCCTAGCACGTAGAAGGGTACAGCACCACCCAAAAAAAAGTAAAACAAAAACCAAGACAAGACCCCCACCCACCCAACCTGAGTCACATGACTGGAAATCCCTAAGTGTGGACCACCTGAGTTATTAGAGGAGATTCCACAGTGAGTGTAACATATATGGAAGCTTTATGCTTCAGAGTAACTCCCTTCCCATACAATTTTAGCGAAATTAAATTTCAGTAGCTCAAAGTGAAATGATTATATGCCAAGTCTGCAAGAGGGGATCTTTTTAACCACCTTCAGCTAGTATGGCTGGCACTAGGACTACGCCTGGTTTTCCAGGGTGCTAGGTGCTCAAGTTAAATACTGCTGCTCGAAATAACACTAGCATCTCCCTAACATGCCACCTTTTTAAACTTTAAAAAAGACAAATTTATCCCAGCTACTCAGGACACTGAGTAAGGAGAATCCAAAGTTCAAGGCCAGCTTGAGCAACAGAGCAAGACACCATCTTGAAAATAATTTTTAAAAGATGTAAGGTATAATGAATCATTCTACTTTACCTCTAAATTTGATGGCTCAAATGTAGAATTGTTTAGATATAAATTTTAATGTATTATTTAATTGAACCTAGTATAGGAGAACATCATGTCTAGAAGAAAGTTAAAACAAGAGAGAATAACAGAATTACTGCTTATTGAATAATTACTATATGGTAAACATTGTCTGCTACTTTATGTATATTATCTCTTTTTTACTTAATCTTGGAAGGCACTTAGAAGATTACAGTTTGTGCTCTTCAAAACAATAATTATTTAAAACACCAAGTGAAATCAAATACAAACAGTAAGAGAGAATATATATATATGTATATACATAAATAGGTTTTTTCTTTTTTTTTGAGACAGTTTTCACTATGTAGCCCAGGATGGCCTCAAACTCACCATCCTCCTGCCTCTCTTTCCTGAATACTGTAACACATTCTTACTATAAAACTCTGAAGGAAACAGGGCAGGAGTGTAGGTGAATCAGGTGAAACTGATGTTTAGAAAAGTTAAGTATTTCACCTGAGTATAAACCATTACAATATGGCTGACCTGAGATTCAAACCAAGGACTCATCCACTACTAAACTCCCAAACACAACCTCCTTCCCTTAAAGAACTGTCTAGTGTTCAAACCATGGATTATTAGCACTTGTTCAAGAAGGTACCCTATTTCATTAATAAATTAGCCACAATGGTTAAACACACAATAATCATGGAATGCTATTTTTCCTTATCCTACCAAAATTAGGAACATGTGACAAATCAATCCCCTCCTACAAATAGATGAGATGAACCTCAGCATCCATAGGGAATTGGTTCCAGATCTCCCCAAATACTAAAATCTTAGGATGTTCAAACCCCTTATATAAAATGGCATAGTATTTTCATATAAAATATGTATACCCTCCTCGGTTTTTGTTTGTTTGTTTTCAGTACTGGCATTTGAAGTCAGGGTCTACACTTGCTAGGCAGGTGCTCTACCACTTAAGCCATGGCCCCAACTCTTCCGGTTACTTTGAATCATCTCCAGATTACTTACCTTATAAGTAATGTAAATATTATTTAACAGTTGTATTGTTCAGGGCATAATGCCAAGAAAAAAGTCTACATGTTCAGTACAGATGCAATTTTTTTTCAATCCTTTGTTCCAAGGATGTGCAACCCATGGATATAGAGGGCAAACGAAAGGAAGGGAGGAAGGGAAGGAGGGAAGGAGAAAGGAAGGAAGGAAAGAAGGAAGGGAGGAAGGAAGACAGTTGTGCATAAAACAAAATAGAGTATCTCACTTGGAGAGACATAAAATTTTAAGATCTGCTGGGCGCTAGTGGCTTGTGCCTATATTTCTAGCTACTCAGGAGGCAGGGATTAGGAGGATCATGGTTTGAAGTAAGTCTGAGTGAATAGTTCAAAAATATCCAACACACACACACAAAAAGGGCTGGTGGAGTGGCTCAAGTGGTAGAGCACCTGCCTAGCATGTGTGAGGCCCTGAGTTCAGACCCCAGCACCACTAAAAAAAAAAAATTAAGATCCATGCTAGGGATGTAGCTCAGTGGTAAGAGTTCTTGCCTAACATGTGCAGGGTCTATGGTTCCATCCCCAGCATCAAAAATAATAGATAGATAGATAGATAGATAGATAGATAGATAGATAGATAAAAATAAACCCTTGTGGTGTGGGTCAAGTGGTAGAATGTTTGCCTACTGAGTTCAAACATCACTACCATCAAAATAAATATACAGTCACAACTACTAAAGTTACCCAAAGGAGGCAACTTTACCCAAAAGCTTTAGAGACCCAGAATCAGATTGAAGGCTGTTGACTCTACTTACTAGAAGGTTCTTATACAAGTTAACAGAAATTATGATAACCACCAGCTAGGCTATGTTAAGGACGAATTAAAGCAAATATGATCATAAGTACACGACCTCAAAATTAACCAAAAGGAATCAATTTGTTTGCTTTCTAATTCTAGTTCCAGTCTAACTAACATCAGTGAGTTTCTATTTTGCAACATTTCAACAAGCTATAGAACTTGGGGGTTCTCGATTCATCTTTGTTACTCATTAATTTTCTTAGAAATCTAGACAGATGGACAAACTGATCTTTGTTCATGGGGAAGACTTCATAGAATATGATGGTTTTGATTTTAGGATTCTTTGCTTTATTTTTGAGATGGTGTCTCCTTATGCTGTCCAGACTATTCATAAAACCCATAGGCTTACGTGTTCCTCCTGTCTCAAGTCTCCCAAGTAGCTGGGAGTACTGGTGTGCATCACCACACCTGGTTTAGATTATGGTGTTTTTCATCCTTTCCCCAATCTAAGTCCTGACTGGTAGGGCTCTTGAAGTAAGGTAAATGAGAGAAAGGACTATGCTGTGAGGAGGCTGAGAAGATGCAATGGCAGCAGGAAGGATCTTGCAGGCACCACTGTCTGCTTCCACCTACTTATGAGGAACTTGCCAAACAAATTAAGCAACCCCTGATCAATTGCTGAACAATTTTGTATCTTCCTCATTCTAGAAGATACACCTTATTTTTAGATTAATGGTTTGAGCAACTCAGAGTTACTATAAGGAAGAAAAGAACATAACACTAGAAAGGTAATTTTGAAAAGTAGCTTGGTACCATGGAAAGAAAAGTCTGCCACCTGCTGATAGAAAAACTGAACTGAATAGATTTCCCTGACTGCCATTAAAAACTGTCGGGTAAGGTTTTTAACACTGAATTTCAAATAAATGGCTAGACTGAAGACATAAATTACACAGCTTAATTTATTTTTTGGTGTTAGTGGCGATTTGAACTCGGGGCCTCCAGTTTGCTAGGCAGGCACACTATCACTTGGGCTATGCCCCCCAACCCTTATGCTTTGGGTTATTTTTCAGATAGGGCCTTTTGCTTTTTGCCCCAGCCAGACTCAGATGGACAGTGATCCTCCTACTTAATGCCTCCAGAGTAGCTGGAATTACAGGCCTGAGCCACCATACACAGCCCACAACATCCCAGCCAACCCAGCACTATGGAGGATGAGGTGGGAGGATCCGAGTTTGGGGCCAAACCAGGTTACATAGCAAACCCTTACCTCAACAGCTGGAGATGTGGCTCAGCAGCAGAGCACTTGCCTAGCATGCTCAAGTCCCTAGGTTGAATTCCCAGCATTGAAAAACAGGGAAAGTGGTAGGGCTAGAAGACCCTATCGCAAAACAATAAATAAATAAATAAGAATTAGGAGAGCTCAGTGGTAGCTCAAGGTCCTGGTTTGATCCTCAACACTGAAAAAAAAATTATTTTATATATATTAATTTAGTAACTTAAAATAACATGCTAACTAAATTACTTTAAAAATGAAAATGGTAAATATGGAAATTATTTAGCATAAAATTATACAGTGAACATTTAAACTACTATGAAAATTAAGGATAAACTAAAACACTTTGCAAATCTAAAGCCACCTTTAAAAAAAAAGAGTCCTATAGATTTCACCTCCACAATCTCTTCTGTCTTCTCCTCTGCTGCTCCCACAAGCAGGTAAAGACTTCATTGCCTTTACTTTTAAATTTTTTATTGGCATATATTCAATTGTACAGAATAAGGGATTTCATCATGGTATTTCCATACATGCATATAATAGACTTTATCACCCTCTTTATTACTCTTTCTTATACACTCCCCTCTTCCTTATCTCTTTTCCTTTCCCTTGTAGTCCCTCCCTTGTTACTTCCATGACCTTGGATTTTTTACTTTCATGACCTTGTCTTTTTGAATCTGGCTTATTTCACTTAACACGATGATCTCCTGTGCCATTCATTTTCCTGCAAATGACATAATTCCCATTCTTCTTAATGGCTAAGAAACTCCATTGTGTATATATAACCACATTTCTTTATCCATTCATCTGTTGACAAGCACCTGCGTTGATTCTATAATTTAGCTAATGTGAATAGTAAAATGATACACATGGGTGTGCATGCTTTTGTTCATATACCCAGAAGTAGTCATAGGGGAGTTCTATTTTTAATTTTTTATGGCAGCTAGGCTAATTTACATTCCCACCAGCATTTATTTGTTTTCTTAATGACAAGTCATTCTAAATGGAGTGAAATGGAATCTCAAAGTAGTTTTGACTTGCATTTGCCTGATGGCTAAAAATGTTGAACATTTTTTTCATGTATTTATGAACAAGACTTCATTACCTTCAATCCAAGCTTATTTTATTTCTTGCTCCCTACCTCCAGATTCTAATAATGCTTGTTCAGGTAAACCACCAGTTTAATGGACCTAAAATGAAATCTGGATTCTATTAGTTACTTATTTTTAAAAAACACAAAGCCTATTCAGCAAATTAACAAATACACTTATAAAGATGTCCTACTATGTGATCCTAACACACCTTTAAAAATCTGGTTGCTTTTAAAACTCTGGTTTTTAAAGAGTAAAGCCAGGTGTGGTGGTACACACCTATACTGTAATTCCACATCCCAGCTGTAATTCCAACTACTCAGGAGGCTGCAGCAGGAGGATGGGGAAGAGGATGGAGAGTTCAGGGCCAGACCCGGCAACTTAGCAAGACCTTATCTTAAAAAAAATACAGAGCTGGCAGAGTGGCTCAAGCAGTAATAGTGCCTGCCAAGCAAGTGTAAGGCCGAATTCAAACACCAGTGCCACCAAAAAAAAAAAAAAAAAGCAACAAAACATGCTCATGATATTTCAAACAGTAGGAAATATTAAAGGAAGAAAAGGCTGCTGTCTGTCTTCACAGTTTCATTCTTCCAAGTCCACTATTACCATTAACAAGTATAAACCCCTTCTAGTACAATTTTCCAGAACTCTACAATGAGAACATTATAACCATACACACGTGCATACACACAAATACCCTGCAAATTGCTTTTGTTCCCCTAGTCACTAACTCTTGAACTTTAAAAAAATGTTAATTTATACAGATTTATACTTTTTTATTTTTATAAGCTGCACAATATTTCATGATACAAATGTATCATGATTTATTTACCAATATATGCTGACTTCAATAGAGTAAATCAAAGCATCCATTTTTCTACATCATCACTCTGCTTTCTCTTTCATACAGCAATTGTCTGGCAGCCCAAGTTTTGACTGTGAGCAAGTAGCCAGGAAGTTTTGTGGCATGTAAAACGTATTTTGCTGAGAATTTGAAATGTTTACTATGGTGGCTCTCGGATGTTATTGTGAATCAGAATCACCTGGAGGGCTTGTTGAAACACACTGCTGCCCAGCTGTGGTAGTACATGACTGTAATCCTGTAACCTGAAGGAGAGGAGGAGGCTGAAGCAAGAGGAAGCCAGCCTGGGTTACACAATAAGATTGTCTCAAAAAACAAAAACAGCCAGCACCAGTGGCTTACACCTGTAACCCTAACTACTGGGGGTGGGGTGAGGGGCAGCCTGGGCAACAAAACCAAGACCCTATCTCAAAAATACTCAACACAAAGGGCTGGTGGAGTAGCTCAAGTGGCAGAGCACCTGCTTAGCAAGCATGAGGCCCTGAGTTCAAATCCTAGTACCACACACACAAAAAAAAGTGCTGGGCCCACCCACAGGGTTTCATTCAGCTTGTCTCTGGGAGGGGGCTAGCTAATTTGCATATCCAACAAGTTCCTACATGAAGCTGTTACAACAACCATAGGTGTAAAACACTAGCATGTGGTCCTCTATTTCAAAATCAGGTTCCCTCCTTCTCCAGTTGTCATGGTTTATATAACAAGTTTTTATGAGCATAGGCAGGTTGAAAAACACTGCTCTGTTAAGGGAAATCATACCAACCTAATCAACCATTCCTAATCCTTCATTCTCTAATCCAACTACAGAAACAGGACCTAAGGATATGAAGGCTTTTAGTCAGAAAAGTTTTTGGATAAAATTTAAATGTTAGTAACTCGTTCAAAAGTGGCTCTGTTATGTAGATGAATTTATAGAAAAAGTAAGAAAAATAATAAAACTATAATTGTTTCAGGAAGTAGCTATCTCTAGCTAACATGCAAACAACTCAGTAGATAAGAGATCAAACTTTTCACTGAAGTTGAAAATGTGGTTAGCTTGTGGCAGGAGAATAATACACAGGAAACTGACAAATGTACTTTGAAAGAACCAAGTCATAAAGCCTGCTACAAACATTTCCATATTTGCAAATTTGAGGATTCAAGATGATCCCGGAAGGCTAGGGATGGAGTTCAGTGGAGAAGCACTTGCCTGGGCTCAATCTCCAGTTCAGTAAACAAAATAAAATAAAAAAGATTTTGGATATATCCTGGGTCAATATGAAGAGTTTAATATATTTCCTTTATCTTACAATATATTTTATTCAAACTGGGCCAAGCAAGATTATTACCCCTCAAATACCTCACACATGCTAGGCAAGAGCTCTACCACCAAGGTAGACTCCCACATTTCCAGGCCAGGACTCTACCTTTGAAGCTAGCTAAGATACATAATTAGAAGACTAGCTTCCAAATCTCACTAGTATGTATAGAGGCCGTAGCCATGTCTCAAGAAGTACTTAAAAACTAGGTATTTCAGTTCTAAATGAATCTATCTTTACTCTTGGTACAGACGGAAAACATTCTGAGCTTGTGTTCTCTAGTGCTAACTAACAGACCCCTTTCTTAATAATGGAACCTCAGTTTTGTTGAAGCGTGGCAAGGTGCTCAACCAAAAAAACAACTCCTCAGCTTTACTTCCATTATGATGGCCATGTAACACCGCTCTCTCCAATGACATGTGAGCAGAAAATTCTACTTCACTGAAATAGGTTTTCTCTTTCCTGCTTCCTCCTTTCTGCCAGTAAGTGACAGCCATCTTGTGACCATGAGAAAAACCAAGAAAATTTCAGGTTGGGGCGTAGCTCAGTGGTAACGACATGCTTAGGATGTGTACAGCCCTGGGTTCAATCCCAGCACCAACCAAGAAAACAGAAAAACCCCAAGGAAATTTCGAAGTCTTTTGCCTTAATATCGTTGTACCCTCTAATTATCACTGTAGCTTTTTGGGCTTCTCATTCCATTACAAAAATAAAATTTGTATAGTTTCTGGAAGCCACTGTTTCTGGGTTTGTTTCTCTCAGTAAAGGGCAACTAACTAAAATAAATAAATAAAAAAGCAAGGAAATATGTATCCATCCAGACTCATAAGGAGCACTCCCAACAGACAACACCAAATACTGTAGACATTGACAGATTATGAGAAACCAGAAAATGCCAAAGAAGCTCAGAGCAAGAGTTTCACAAGACAAATCACAAGTTCCAGAGAGGTACTAAAAGGTCATAAATCTGAGCACTGATATAAATTAGATAGAAGCCGAGATACAGGTACTTAAAAAGTCTACATGATAGTGCTGACTTACTGAAGCAGTTGTTTAAATCTTGTCACCCCCACCCCGTTCTAAATGTAGACTCAGCCATGGTGCTGAGACCCCTGATAGTACCCAGGGCGTATCTGATGTGATCTTAAAGGTAGAAGAAGGGAAACTGTTTTTGCTAGCAGTTTATTGACTAAAAAGAAAAATGTAAGTTAAAAAAAGAGAAAAAAGCACCAGCTATTTAGGGAGTCATCGCTGATACTGAGAATAAAGCACAAATAGTTGAAATATTTTAAAATTAGAAATGACAATTCTAATTGCTTGATAAAGTTCTAGTGACAGTTCCCTCTCCCTCTCCTGTTGTCCAAATGACTTCCTACTACTGTTACTCTTTAGCAGATAATTTTAAACTACGCAATTGTTCCGGTTTGTGCCTACGTTTTACTTATTGGATAGATGCCCCTATTTCGAGGACATTTAATAAAGGACATGAAGAAGTAAAAGAGAGATAGTTTTCTATTAGAGAAAAATAAGAAACTTGCTAATAAAAAAAATTAGAATAAAGAGCCAGGTGTACTGGTGCACACCTGCAATCCCAGGACTCAGGAGATGAAGGTAGGAGGATTACAAGTTCCAGACTAGACTGGGCTATAGTAAGACCCTCTCTCCAAAAAAAACCACAAAGAAAAACAAAAAGGCCGCCTGTGTTTTCCAACCCTTGCTTTCTTGTCTCCTCTGGAACACAAGGAGAATAATCAACTGATTATTCTCTCTTCTGGCTTCTTACATCTTTAATCATTGGCTTTTCACTGCTTCTCTGCCAGCCAACATGCTTATGTGCCAACTGTTCCAAAACAAAACAAAACGTAATCATCTAGGCTCCACACAGCTATTTCTCTACTCAAAAGCCACTTTCCAGTTTTCTTCACCTCACTGCTTTTCCAGTGAATGCTGGAATAGCAGCTCAGTCCCATTCTGACCTTGAAGGGAACTGGCACTGCTGCTCCCCCAATCCCCGAAGCATTTCCTGTTATTCTGCCTCTGACAGCTTTCTGTTTTCCTTACTAAAAAAAACACTCTTTCAAGGCTGCCACTGCCAAGTTTTCCTCCTGCTGTGAAATCATGGAGGAGAAACATACCTATCTGATACTACTGTTGGCAGGCTAGACATTTGGGAAGATATCTAGACACAATTTATCTTCACAGTTCCAGGGTAACATTTTCAATGCTAATAGTGACAAGAAGTAATCTATACGTTGGTAACCACGGGCGAGACAGTTTTCTAAGCACTTTACCTGTATTAACTAATTCATGGCATTTTGGCTTGGTTATTAGTCCACATACTTCCTGCTTCCTCTCCTGGTTGCTGTTCGAACCGGCCCTTCTTCACTCTCTTCCCTATCTTCATTAATAACATAGCCAGAATCAGTGTTTACCTGAGAACTTTAAAATCAATCCTCCCTGTAATTAATCCTGTTGTTTAATAATTATAAATAAACTCTCTAACACAGCAATTATGTTCCAAGCACTGTTGTCTCATTTAACCTTCACAATTAACCTATGCAGTAGGTACTATTATCATCTCCCAATTTAATAGATGAAAAAATGGAAACTCAGAGGTTAAATAATTTGCCCAAGGTCACAAAGTTTTGCTGCCACAAAGTTGTGTTGATTTTATCTCGATTCCTTATTTCCATCCCTACTGCTAAGTGGCCTCAATCATCTTTCACAAAGCATACTGTTACATCCTCCTACATGACTTCTCAGGATCCCCCCTTACAACCCACTTTGGAGAAATTATCTTCAAAGAACAGAGTTGTGATTATGCAACTATTCAGTTTAAAAACCTTTCTTGTTAGGATCAATGCCCAGGACCCAAAAAAACACAAAAAAAAACCTTCTATGACTCCTTGCTGCCTTCAAAATAAAGGGTAAAATCTTTAAAATGGCTTTGTGAGATTTCTCTACAATTTGGTTTCCTTATCCACATTCCCTATCTCTCCAACCCCCCACACATATCCTTCTTTTAAATAAAAATTTTTATTAAGATATATTCATTGTACAGGGGTGATTCATTGTGACAATTTCAAATAGGCTTATAATGGTTAGATCAACCCCCACTGTCTCTCTCCCTCGACCCCCTCCCTATCCCACTTAAAGCAATTGCAAGAGGTTTCATTGTTCTATTTCATATAAGTATATGAAGTCCATCCACCATA